TGATTCTTCTTGAACGGGGATTGGCCCGAACCCCACATTTGAGTGATTCTTCCGATTGGCCGAACCCCACTGTTGAGTGATTCTTCTTGAACGGCGATTGGCCTGAACCCCACTGTTCAGTGATTCTTCTTGAACGGGGATTGGCCGAACCCCATTGTTGAGTGATACTTCTTGAACGGGGATTGGCCCGAACCCCGCTGTTGAGTGATTCTTCTTGAACGGGGATTGGCCCGAACCCCACTGTTGAGTGATTCTTCTTGAACGGTGATTGGCCGAACCCCACTGTTGAGTGATTCTTCTTGAACGGGGATTGGCCCGAACCCCACTGTTGAGTGATTCTTCTTGAACGGGGATTGGCCCGAACCCCACTGTTGAGTGATTCTTCTTGAACGGGGATTGGCCCGAACCCCACTGTTGAGTGATTCTTCTTGAACGGCGATTGGCCCGAACCCCACTGTTGAGTGATTCTTCTTGAACGGGGATTGGCCCGAACCCCACTGTTGAATGATTCTTCTTGAACGCGGATTGGCCCGAACCCCACTGTTGAGTGATTCTTCTTGAACGAGGATTGGCCGAACCCCATTGTTGAGTGATACTTCTTGAACTGGGATTGGCCCGAACCCCACTGTTGAGTGATTCTTCTTGAACGGGGATTGGCCCGAACCCCACTGTTGAGTGATTCTTCTTGAACGGGGATTGGCCCGAACCCCACTGTTGAGTGATTCTTCTTGAACGGGCATCCTAGGCAATGAGTGAGATCTACTCAATTAGGTAGTAGGGAAAAACCTAACCCCCTTGTTGAGTGATTCGCGTTGAACGGGTCAACAAGGGAGTGAGGAAAAACCTAACTCCCTTGTTGAGTAATTCTTGTTGAATAGGTGACATCAATTGGAACACAAAGGGCCCAACAAGGGAGTGAGATAAAACGTAACTACCCTCTTGAGTGATTCAACGTGAATCACTCAACAAGGGAGTTAGGTTTTTCCTAACTCCCTTATTGAGTGGATTTGTGTTTTGCCAAGATTCCACCGCCAATCGAAGCTGATGGCTGATCCAATCCAGCTGCGGAATCATGTGGGGACAATTCCTCCCCTAAATGCAAAACATCACCATCAGCGCCAAACAGGCAATAGAAGGGAGTGGAGATGGAAGAAAATGGCGAGTCCATGTAACCACACTTAATCGTGACATTATAGTGTCTCCATTTCCCACCAACAAAAAATGATAAACAATTTGAAAAAACATACTTAGACAAGTAGATTACTGCTTTCATAAAAGTGAGCGTGTACATGCCCACAGTAATGGTAGCATCAAGCTGCGGAATGAATCTGAACATATCTGAGCCCAAGGGCCCCAACAAAGATGTTGGTATATGGAGTCCGTAGCCTGATGTTAAATGGTTTTGAATGCCATTTAAAGTAAATTACACCTTCAGTATTTGAATGTGTTGAACAAAGTACGTTTCATTTAGTTACATGGGATCAACACGCGAGACAAAAGTTTAGGCTTGTAATAAACGGCATTGAACTTTTTTTGATCAAATTACGCGCTCCGGAGCGCGTAATGATTACGCGCTCCGGAGCGCGTAATTGACTTTAGTATTTAAATGTATTGAATAAAGTACATGTTTCTTACATTGGGTCCAATAATATAGGCCCTATAGGCTGGTAGTAAATGGCTTTGAACTTTATTTGAACATATTACGCGCTCGAGAGCGCGTAATGATTACGCGCTCCGGAGCGCGCAATCAACTTTAGTATTTAAATGTATTGAATAAAGTACATGTTTCTTACATTGGGTCCAATAATATAGGCCCTATAGGCTGGTAGTAAATGGCTTTGAACTTTATTTGAACAAATTACGCGCTCGAGAGCGCGTAATTATTACGCGCTCCAGAGCGTGTAATTGACTTCAGTATTTACATGTATTGAATAAAGTACATTTTTCTTACATTGGGTCAATATACGAAGCAATACTATAGGCTGGTACTGAATGGCTTTGAACAAATTACGCGCTCCGGAGCGCGTAATTATTACGCGCTCCGGAGCGCGTAATTGACTTCAGTAGTTACATTTTTTGAAAAAAGTGCGTTTCATTTAATTACATGGGATCAGCATACGAGACAATAGCTTAGGCTGGTACTGAAAGGCTTTGAACTTTATTTGAATGGATTCCGCGCTCCGGACCGTGTAATTGACTTCAGCATTTACATGTGTTGAAGAAAGTACGTTTCATTTAATTACATGGGATCACCAATACGAGACAATAGTCTAGGCTGGTACTAAATGGCTTTGAACTTTGTTTGAGTGGATTACGCGCTCCGGAGCACGTAATTATTACGCGCTCCGGAGCGCGCAATTGTCTTCAGTATTATTTACATTTGTAGAAGAAAGTGGTTTTCATTTAATTGCATGGGATCACCATACGAGACAATATAGTTTAGGCTGCTACTAAATGGCTTTGATCTTGATTTGAATGGATTACGCGCTCCGGAGCGCGTCATTATTACGCGCTCCGGAGCGCGTAATTGACTTCAGTAGTTAAGAGTGTTGAAAAAAGTGCGTTTCATTTAAATATATGGGATCAGCATACGAGACAATAGCTCAGGCTGGTACTAAATGGCTTTGAACTTTATTTGAATGGATTACGCGCTCCGGAGCGCGTCATTGTTACGCGCTCCGGAGCGCGTCATTTTTACGCGCTCTGGAGCGCGTTATTGACTTCAATATTTAAATGTGTTGAAAAAAGTGCGTTTCATTGGGTCACTATACAAGACAATAGTTTAGGCTGCTACAGAAAAATTGAGCCAAATTCCAACAGTTAAAAGTGATTTTCTGAATGATATCAAATGGAGCTTTTGGACGACCCTGAGTAAGTAAATACGAGTATTTGATTCTCATATATTATTTTCAAGTATCATTACAATCAATTACGTATTACTATTAATTATTATTAGTTTTTTTACATTATCATCATTTATTAATATTATTAGTATCTAACACAAAATGTAAAACACCAATGGTATATTTATATTCTTGCTATACTACTATAATCAGTATGTTTATGATCAATTACCATTATTAATGTTATAATACATTATCATCATACAGTATATTATTAATATATGACACTAAACATAATCATATCATTGTATCATTATAACAATATTGTCATATATTATCAAATGGTAATCATACATATTATCAGTATACAGTATAAATATACGGTTACATGTTAAATGAATTTAAATGATACATTGTGATACATATTGTTTTTAGTTTGTAACACTCAGGTGGCAAAAAAAACATCACCCCAACATGGCGACTTTGTCTAACATCGGGCGGCTTTTCACGAAGCGTTTCAGCTGCATGGCGCCGCCCGGGCGGATCTCCTGACGCTGAGCCTATTAGTATAGCTGCTATGAAAAAAGACATGGAAACACTATGGAAAAAAAAGAAAAACCATGAAAAAACATGGGAAAACCATGGAAAAAAAAACATGAAAAACAATGAGAAACCCACTATTGTTCATGGACAAAATCATGGATAAATCACGGATAAATCATCTATTGAATCTATTTCTATGAATCATTTTTCATAGCGACATGTTAAATAACCAGGTTGGGTAGTTGTCGGAATGCTATCAAAATGTGCAAGCCTGATGAAGAAAGCCACTACCCATCCCGAACCTCAGTTATCCCAGTGGCAAACTGGAATATAATGGAAATACACTTCCTTATATCCAATGGTCCTGGAAGTAGGGTACCGTTCCGAAACCATGCTCGTTTTGCTGAAGATACCGTCATGTTCATGTCAAAAAAGGGGAGGAACGTCATATTTTCCAGATGCTACGGTGCTTCACTCAGTAACCGAAGGCCATGCAAAAATGTGTTGGGAAAACGAACCATGTCCCTTCGGAATATGGCAAAACGGTTCCAAATCGAGATTGCCTAGGCACATGAGCGAATCGAATCCAACAGTCACGTGAACATAACGTGTATAATGTCAAGTAATCAACTTTGCACATGAATTTGTCTTAAAATGGTACTTAGATGGGCCATGGGGTTAGCTTTATAATCGGTTAATAAATACATTATACTTGGGACATCTTGGGACTTTGTAGTTTGTAACCCAGTTACCAACTAGGAATCGAGTTTTTCCCATGGCCCTCCAAATGCTATTCCAATTTACGACTTTGGGTGAGACAAAGCCACACAGATCGTTTCCCCACGTTCTCCTCTTCCCACTCTTCCAGTTCAATCGTTTCCGCTTCGCGCCTCAAAGATGCTGGAACAGACTGCATGAACATATGTATAAAGGAATTATAGTCATCCTGGAGTAGATAGAATATAGAAATTTCAGAAAATCCCATATGCTATCATGGGAAAATATTTGAAAATCCTAGATTCTATCTACTTCAGGATGATGATTAACATGATCTCCCTCCCAGTGAATTATGAAACAACTGGAATGGTGAAGGAAAGCAGGTCAGGTCGAAGCGACAATAAAACCCATGACAAAAAACACAGGTACTTCATGATATGTCCTACTTACTTGTCCTACTCATTAAAAAATACTACCCTCTGGTTATTTAACATAGCCATGGAAAATGGTCCGTTTATAGATGGTTTACCTATTAAAAATATTTAAAAATGGTGATTTTCCATGGATATGTTAGTCATAACCAGATGGTAAGTCCCATGGCTCCAATCATCAACGACAACGGGAACAGGACGAATCGGCACGGGCGACCTCGACTGCTTCGCATCCTTTCCTTCGGACAGGTCCCCGAAGAGATCTCTAGCAGTGACAGTTTGAATGACTGGCTATGACAAGACCCACAGTAGACAGATTTTCTCACCCCACAAAAAACAGCTATAGCAGCTATAGCAGCTAATTTGGATGGTGGCTTGGATGGTTTTTGGATGTTTCATTTAAGCGGACACTTGCAGTGAAAAAAAACTGCAAGCCCACTTTGATGCCCCGCGTGGCGCATGGCTCCTTTATCTCCTTTGGAATTTTTGCCCTTGGCCTTCGCTGACCTCAGGGAGACTTTGGGGCAGGTTGGTGGTTGACCTACCCTCTGAAAAATATGAGGTCGTCAGTTGGGATGATGTTCCCATATATTATGGAAACATATGGAAACATAAAAAATGTTTGAAACCACCAACCAGTGATGCATGCAGTCATGCCTATATCTCTATCTGCATACATATTGATATTACTTATTTCTGTGCATGTGAGGGGTGTGCATGACCGCGACTATTCACTATTACCAAGGGAATTCTGCGAAACATGACAATGTCAACATCCATCACTATCATCATACATAAATCTTGAGCAGTCATTTGCACAGAAATTCGAGTTTATAATCATGATCAATTGGCTGATGGACCGATGTGCATGGAATCATTACCAATATTCGCTTTTAAGATATGTCTAGTTGAATGTTTTATTTCCAAGAGATTCTCTTCTAGTTGTGTTGAAGAAACAACCTACCAGCATATGCGAGCCGGGACTCAAAAACAAACCTCTAATTAATGTTCAAATAGGATCCCAATAGACATGCAACAACATTCAGTTGCTGATGTGATGTCGCCACAAATGGCTCTCCAAGGCCCTTGCACTCCTAGCACTCCGAGCATTCCTGGCATATGCTCTCAGGCCGCGACTTCTCATCTCCAGATGTGGGTGGAGCTACCGTGGCTGTGGATGGCTTGGCCACATATCCTTTCTTGCCCAATAGCAGCAAAAACCTGGCCGTTTCAGCCACAAGAAGGTGCCCCCCCAGATGTGTGCCGGAAACCCTGTTTTGGATGGGGACATCATCCAACATCTGCAAATGGACATATCCATCACTCGGATTCACTCGGCCCAATGAAAAACACGCAACAAAGGCAATTGAACATGTTTGACGGAACTTCACTTTCTGGCATGATTTTCATCCTCCAAGCCTATTCTTTTAGGTTTTCAGGGTCCTAGTGACGGCTCGATCACCATATCCAAGAGGAAGCCGCACCAAATTCCTTAGCAACAAATGGTGGCTACGTCCAAGAACACAATATATAACCAGGGTGGTGGATTCAGTACATAATGACATACCTTGCTCAGCCAAACCGCAAGAAAACAAGAACTCAACTCCAAACCTCGCAGATCAGCAACTTTGTGGAATCGTGCGCATTTTTTCTGATCTTGGAACAATACATTGACATCCTTTGTGAAAGGACGAAAACAACAACATCATTAAATATCATGAACATCAACATGATCCCAAAAAACAGATTGAATAAAGGCAATAGCATTCTAAGGTTCTAAAGACATCCTGTATAGTCCAACCATGTCCAAAACATATATATATATTATATATATATATGTATATATGTTTCATACTGTTCAGCTAACTTACTTCAAAACATATTTACATGTTTCCAAGGATGTCCAAGGTATTTGGCAGGTTGAGGTATATTGGCCATATATTGGCCATAGTTGGCCACATATCCTCATTATTCCTCATTTCATTATGGCTAGATCATGGTTAAATCAGCATTGTTGATGGTAAAACTCAAAACATTATGGTAAATCCCATGAATAGTCATGAAATCCAGTTCATTCCAGTTCTTACTACATTTTTTCATGATAACTTCCTTGACTTCCAGATTTTGATGGTCAAAGCCATCATTTGTTCATGGTGAACTCCTCGAGATCGGGGATGCAGCTGGGTCTCCACAGGCGACGGAGACGATGGGGCCGCATATCAACACCAAGCGTGACATCTTTCCGGAGAAGTGCGATGCCTGGGCGATCCAAAGCTTGCGAATCTGGGATTTATCTGTGATTTTGGGCTTTGGGAAGTTGCTTCTTGACAGGATAAGTTGATTTTGGCTTCATAATGCGTATATATATATATATGTATATATGCGTGTGTGTGTGTACATATCCAGGGAGTTTCAGGGAACATGCGCAGGAAACTCCAAAATTTGGCAAATGTTCCCTCAGATTTCCTGCCGGATTGGTAAGTCCATAGTTTCCTTCAGATATTCTTTCCCATTGTCCACAGTTGAACTTTAGATGTTTAGCGGGATATCATAATAATCTGTGAACAAAAATGCATCTGGCTAGGGCTACGCTACGACCCATCCGGATGGGGCTTAGCAAGTGGTGGATGTTGTGAGTCATTGTTTATTGCTCAAGTAGATCCAACAGTTCGAATCCACATGCGGCAACCAGTTGTTGGTGTCAACCTTGGTAAAACATATGTAAACAAAAACAAAAACATAAGTTGTTTTTTGTTTGTGGACCGCGATGAAAAACAAAGCAGGAAGATGAGACAAAGTTCAAAACATGTTGAAATCAATAAGCCAAGATGAATCCCATAGCGTATGTCAAACACCCTATATCCTCCACCATCAGCATCACCTGCGACTGTCTTAATCCAACTGAAGTCGGGAGTGATTGCTGGGCTCATCCAAAGCATCACTGGAATACATCGATGCAACTCGTTTACACACATTTAATCCCTTCACAATCCCTTCCCCCCTAATTATTCTAAAGACCCATCGGGAAAAACTGGCCTAGGATTGTTTTGGTGGCATCTAAAGTTCGGGGGCTCATCATCAATCCCCTGACTTCAGCTGGCTCAACCCTACCCTGAGCTTCGTGACAATGAAACCATAGAGGCACATGAAGTAGAAACCTCAGCCCAGCTGTGAGTCGAGAAACTGCATGAAGAAATGCTGCAAAGGTTGGAAATGCTTGGAAGATCACCATGACACTTGTGAGATCTAACTTTCCCAACTACTTTCATCCATTGAGTGGTGAAGAATCGATCGCAAACAAATCACCCGCAGACCCCACGCACTGCCCGATGGCGCCATGGGATTTTCCCCGAGTCAAGCGACCGTTGTTGCGATTGAAGATGCAAACCAATCCGCCAAGCAAAACATAATCCAAGGGCATACCCAAGTGAGAGGCCTCAGAAAAAACGGCCTGAGTTTTGGTGGTGACAATTCAATTCACAGCAGTGTTACTGTCGGACGCAGTAGCTAGCACCTTCAGCAGCTTGGGAAAGAGAACATGTAGCATCTTTCTGAGCAAATTTGTTCTAAATATAGGAGCCGGTTGCTACAACACTGTGATCTGCGTAAGGTCTCCCATACATAGATTCTGTGGAAGACAGCAGCGTCACAGTTTCTTTCTCTTGCAGTTCCGATCAATGTGGCTGTTGTTAATTGTCATATAACTATATATCATATAATAAGTATATAAACAATAAATATGTGACAATTAACACCAGCATTAATTAAGTATTTGTCATATAACCAATGTGTTTATATATGGTTATCGTTTCACTTCTCACGTGTACTCACGTGACTCCACCCTTCGTTCAAAATTTGCGAATCTCTCTGCCATTATTGTTTGGACTTGTGGGACACATCATTCTCACAGTCTATCACCTGCATTTGCCAATGAAGCCCCCTCAAAATGTCTACTCCAACAGGAACAAGACACCATCCAGCGCACCAATTCTGTAGTTCTCCATGCCACACACTTTTTGGTGGGGTGGGCGCAAGGAGTCAGGCGTGAGAACCCCGTAAATCATAAATCACTATAACATTGCCAAAAACATGATTCCCTGCAAAAACTAGTATACCGTCCATTCATGGATTCATGGCAAAAAACATTTGCTAAAGTACATGCTTGACTGCTTGACCAAGAAAAAAAAGGTACCGATTGGAACTACCCTTCTGTTGTCAAATGTGGCAATCGGAAATCCCATACCAATGGACGT